GAGCGCTTTCTACCGGGGCACCTGTCCCCCGCCGAGATGCACCTTGCGGCGGTGAGTGGGCGCCCGCACCCTCCCTGTGGATTATAAAACACCGCATTTGGCGCGGGTGCTCAAAAATAGATGTTACACAAGCATGGTGGAACGTGCTCACTCGGTAATGACTTCTTTGTTTGGGGAAAAGGTGGTCGAAACGAGAGTAAGAATGAAGGCCCGCTTCTCATTATAACACTTGGTCCGAAGCGTTGCTTGTTTGATACGCATGTTTAGAAGCGTGAAATATACGAATTAGAGAACGATAGAATGTTGTGGCAAGTTAATAGCGCGTTAAGTTTGAAAAAAGATGTTACAGGTTGTGAGTATGAAGTCGGTCCGCTCCTCATCATTAAACTTCCAAGACCGAGGAGCTGCATATACTAGGCTAAAAGTAGGTGCCCAATAATTGTGATAATGTAATTTTGAAACATCGCGTTAATAAATTTTGACAAAAAGGATAAATTATAAAGGATGCCAAATTGAGGAACAAGAAATGAAGGTGCGTAAAAATTGGTCCGATATGTTGGTTTTGCAGTCAAGATACGTCTTGTTTATGTTGATAGTCGAAATGGGGTATTGGTATGCTTAATAAATGAAATATTTAAATGAAGAATAATAAAACATTACCAAAGTGGGCCATTCACCGGTGCACTGTTCGAGAAATATGGGTGAGAAAAATGTAAATAAAAACAATTTTCTACCGAAATACCACAGCACATAAATGTGTAGTAAGATCTGTAAGAAATTATCAATATTTATACTTTTATAATATTTCTATTGAATTAGGTAAGGTTTTGTGCGAATATTAAGATTGATAAAATAATTGTAGATAATAAAATAATATATTTCAGGAAAAGTATTTGTCAAAATTCGAAAATCGGTTCATATTCGTCTCGATTTTAGTGTTTTGAGGCTAATATTGCAGTTATTGGATGAAAACAGGTTATGACTCATGTGTTCCAGTTTTCTCTCTCGCACAATTTTGTGAGATCCGGGCGTTCGACTATTCATATTACCCGTGTGTCCTCTTTTGCGTTGTTCACTGAGGCGCTATTCTCGGAAATTTTGTAAGTTGGAAACAAGATTTGTAACATTCGCAAGGAGTAAAAATGTGCAAACAAGTCAGTACAAATACAATAATTTACATATAGTACATATTTCACCTCTTACAGAGAAATACGTTTCATAATTCTGTTAAACATATGTTTTATTAGAATATAAGTCAAAAGAACTAATAAAAATAAACAAAGATTTTATAATTTACTGTATATCTTATTTTAACAATGTTCTTTTTCACTTCTTTTATTTAGTACAACTAACAGAAAGTAAACTTAATGTTGAACAAAGAAACACGGAAATATTTCTCTATATTTAAAGTAATATGTACTGAATTAGACACATCTGCTTGAGAAAAATAACAATTTTGCATACATGTATTTATTTCAATTATGATTTTACTTTAAACGTTTCATCACTTTCGAGATCAGCTTTAACTCCAATGTGAAAATATTGCAGTGCAATGTAAAGTAGCAACTCAATTTGATATTGCTTGCTCAATATTTGTACGTTATGTCTTGCAGAAAGTAAGAATTATCATTTTCAAAAGAAAAAGTGTAATGAAACATTTTGAAAATCTTTATATCAAAAAGCATTTCCTACGTATAATGCATCATAAAGGGAACGTGGACAACAAAACATGTTAGTAAAAACATAATAATGTTGTTGTTATTATTATTATTATTATTATTATTATTATTATTATGTAGTGAACAACATATACCATTAAACTACATGCTACTAGCAAAAGATCCAATGCTGAGATGGTATTTATTGGGAAAACATTCGCCACCCGTGTTAAGGAAACTATCTCCCCTCTACAGAGTTTCATTGATCTTTATTTATAACCAGTGGAATTTATATATCATACACGTAAAACATGCCCAAAAAGCAATTTCATTCTCTGAGATCTCCCATGTAATCGTGTGCATATACGTATACACACATATTCATTACAGAGCATCTCTTTTTTAACTTTAATTTTTGCACTTAATAGTTTATGGAACTTCAGAACACTATATCGGTTGTAGGATGAAACCGTTATCAGCGCATTTAAACACCTATTGACTATATTTATAGCGACTATCGAATATGTTACTGGTAGAATATGTTTATAAACTGTTATATTATTATGTTATTCGTCGTTTATTCGATAGTAAGGTCTTATATCGGCCATGTAGATGAACTCAAATTGAACAATTTTTTGTTTACTGTAGTAATTACACAATATTTTCATTTCATAATTAGTTGTATCTACTTTAACATTCCAGCAATCCGTCATATTCCTTTCGACATACACGTTTAAAGTCCTATCAATTTGCCTGTTTCTCTACTTGCATGGTTTACAATAGAAGGGAATGAATGAAAGAAAATCCATGAACAAAAATGTGCCTAAGATAGAATTATAGTAACGGGGTACGCTAAGTACATTTAGTTCTGCGTGCATAGTAAATGAAGATGGCTTCGAATGCTTGAAGGATTGTTATTTTATTCCATGGCGCGTCAACGTCTAAGCTTAATAGTTCCATTAGTGTGGTGCATGTTCGTGGTAGAGTCATGGTAGGCATGGAGACGGCGACGTTCTTCCCCGATGAAATATGAAATCCGTCGCCGACATACACGTCTGCTTGCGAGGATCTCTCCGAGTACGGGGCACCGCCAGAAGCGGAATAAGCTCTAAGCTCCCGACATGAGTGGCAGATTAGTGCATGCAAATATATGTGTGTGTATGTGTGTGTGTGTGTGTGTGTGTGAGTGAGGGAAGAGAAGGGAACAAGGATAAGTTTCGAGCGGTCTACCAACAGCTATCTAGCTAGAGTCGAAACACCGCTACCGTCGCGAGACTAAGAATTCTAGGAACTCCTGGTCAGAGGCAGTGCAGTGGCAACGAGTATCACCATGAGCTATCCGTAGATTTAAAAGGTTCTAGGTTTGAAGTTGACGGTAACGGATTTGTGACATCAGCTAAATAGCCTGGTTATACGATGTCACTCCCTGTATGAGATTTCCAGGTGCCAGCTAAACCGGGGTTCCTTAGGGGAAATGGATTTATGTTGATCCCTCTGCCCCATAACCAGCATGCCTATGATCTCGAAAGACTCCGGTAGTACTGCGTGAACACAAGTGTTAGGCCAAGGCTCGAATTAGACTCTAGCGTCATTAGAATAATAAATTATAGTGCAAGGCGGGGAGACCTTCGTATCCACACGAGGAGCGAGGATCGGGCGGGTCCCAACGAGGTTAGGCGTCGTGCTGATTTACACTTTGGTATTGTCTGGGCGCAGGCCAGGCCGCGCCAACAGCCTGCTTGCGACACAGCGCACGGATCGACACGCGACAGGGCCGCAGTCGGAGGCCACAATCGCGTATTGGCGAGTGCACGGGAACAATACCGCGTGTGCGTCCGTCCTGTGGCTGTGCTTGGCTAGGCGGATAGAAAGCTGGGGTCAGGTCGCGTCCTCTCGTTGCACAGAGGTACAGACGTCGGACCTGCAGATTAAACTTTTCCATAAACATTCCCCCAATGGCAAAAGTATTGTTTCAATTGAACAAAAATAACGACGATGTGAATATTTAGTCTACACAAGAGAACTTCATGCATATTGATATCAAAATAATAGTATGAAATTGAATTTTATATTCAATCTCGATTTCAACGAGTCATTAACTAACATGCACCTACCTTGTGTGGTGTATCCCCCCACACAAAAGCTGATACTACATTCACACAAATATAGTTAATACTAATTATCTATAGAAACAACAGTTATTAAATATCTCTATTGAATAAGTTATAACCACAAATCACTTAATAAAAATAAATGTTTAAGTCGTTATTAATGAATATTCTTTATACGAAAACATGAAGTCGGCTAGACACTACATCTCACCCACCAAAAAAATTCTGGTCGCGTCACTGACCTGCACAAGTGTTAGAACGTGTGATCCAATGTGAATATATATTTTTTTAACTCTCAAGAACTGTGAAAATAAGCCTCTTATCGTTCAAAGCACTACTCACCCCGGCGTAGGAAACATTCACTGAGCTATACATATTTCCGATGTAAATGCCAATCCAACAAACCGTCAGGGTGGTGACAATTTAGCGCAGAAATTATGCTCTTAGAAACAAATACGTATTAATAGGAAAACATGATTATAAGTAAAAGAGGTTGCAGAATAGTTATTTATCCTACAAAAGTTTTAAAGAGATGTGTACGTTAGATTATTATTCATGTGTACCAATGCGAGTTGTGATCTTAGCTGTTGACGCGTCCGGGAACACGTCAATCAATTAATAATATAATAATTAATAATAATAATAATTAAATAATTAATAATAATTAATCAATTAATAGTGAAAGACGAGTTGTCTTCCAATCATGAGCTAATATCATGGGTTTAAATTCGCTAATCGGGATTTCCCACCACATATTTTTTGGCAAAACGTTAATATCTTCGACGCTTTTACCCGCCGCAGAAGTTTGTAACATTTGTTCCCAGTCGCCTGCGTTGATTTCTCGAGGGTTGCGATTCGATTCGGTGTGTAAGGCGGCGTGCTCTGTTGTGTGTGCCGCAGTGGAAGCCGAGGGCCGCGCGGAGGGCGCGGGCGGCGTGAGCGGAGCGGGCGGCGCGCTGCCGCAGCCACTGGACGAAGAGACGTGCTCGCTCCAGCCCGAGCAAGGCCCCTGCCGCGGCTACTTCTCCTTCTACCACTACGACGCCCCCGCCCAGCGCTGCCGCCAGTTCACCTACAGCGGTTGCGGAGGTAACGCCAACAGGTAAGGGAGCTCTCCTCCATCGCTTCCGCCTAACGAAACGTTACGCTGCACGGAGAAAAACAACACTCCACCACTTTACGACTGTGTTTATTACTAAATTAATTTTTCTAAGATTAACATGTCCTGTCCTAAGACTCGACAGCCCGCTAAGGGCCTTGGCCGACTAGCGGTGACCCAGCCCCTCGGCCATAGTATAAGAGGTTCGTGTGGTTAGCACGAAGACATCCCTTCAGAATATATTCTGGTCTTCATAATCTTAGAATGGGCTTCCTCATCATCACACAGCAATATATACTGGGACATTTATAAGGAAAGCGCGCAATTATTATTTTGCCCCGTCCGGGAAGCGAACCTGGGGTTGCGCCGTGGGAAGCGAGCACGCTAGCCAACGAGCGTTTACTGCCATGAAGTTTATTTCATGAGTGTATAGTACTATATTTATTTCACCGCTACGCACTACCAAGCTTATTTTCTGCTACTTATTACCAAATTCATTTTTATAATAAAACCATCAACTTATTATTCTTTTATAAACTTGTAAGTATCTTACACGGTCATATTCTATCAAATTTATTTCATTTCTACGTGGTAATTACTTAAAACCAAGTTCATTTTAATTCCACTTGCTATTAGTTTATTATTTTACTATTTACTACAGTTTTGTTCTACTACAACTTACTACCTATTAACAATGACATTATTAACACAAGTATCTCATACAGATTTTACTGTTTTTGCAAAAACTATGAAAGTAGCAAATATCCAATGTAAGAACTCAAAAATTAGAAGAAAATGGATAATCACAATCCAACAAAACAAAAACTGGTCAATCTACAGGTGTCTCAGAATACATTTTACAAACTTCTAAGGCATGTAGAGGGGTCGAATGTAATCACTCTTTCGCCAATGAAAATGGAAATTTCTCATAGTGTAGTTACGTATACGACATATGCCCCTGGTCTTCAGGCAATTTCTTATACACAGACGTTCGACAGGTCACATTTTGACGAAGTCCTGGAGATTTCATGTACCTGGCGAACATCTGTGTATACGGGGTTGCCTAACACTCTGATGCAACTGTGAAACTATTATTTGTAATTTCCCGCCATAGGTTCATTAGCAAAAGTCATCCTTTCCGACCCCTCCTGTCTACATGCACTAGAGGCTTGTAACATGTTTTCTGATACTGTACAGATTCAATACATCATCTTGCTCATTGTAATAACATGCGCAGGGATATTATCAAAACAGTGTTTTGGATAAATATATAGAATTGGAAAACAACTATTCAGAATTAAAATTTCAAATGCTCCATCATGGACTCTTGCCACATAGGAAGAAATTGCCTACACTCTGACAATCATAAATTAAAATATTGTACGCTTAATGAAGTGAATCCTATTATATAACCAAAGGAACCCGAGATTGAAATTAGTAATCGTAGAACAAACTTTCCAATATCCGTTAATAAATTGTTATTAACGGAACTGGGAAGCATACACGATTACACAAGTGGTTCAAAAGAATGGTGTGGTGTTGTTCGATTAGCACGAACCGGGCTTAATACCATTTAAGAAAACTTAACTTGGCTAAGTACCATTTAAGAAAAAATTCTTTCGAAAATATGAGAGCTACTAACAAGACTGGTGTAGTTAATCATTCAGCCCAGCAGATATTCAAAATATCAACCTCACAATTTAACTACAATAGAGCAAAGCGCGCCTGGGGTGTAGGCAATTCGTAATACGCACGAGTTAAGGGTTTTGCTTGGGTAGGCGCCACAGTAGACCCTTCTGCAACTCTACAAACGAAGCTCTATAGAACCCATCTTTCTTAACTCACGACAATTGAAGAAAAGTGTTTCTTTCCATGCTTGGCTTAGGCGAATTGTTTTTAACGAGTCGATATACAACCCTTTATATGGTAAATGCAGTAGTCCGATTCCATAGGCGTCCCAGTCCGGATTAGGGGAGACGATGGGAAAAGAACGGGGAAATAGAGCACACTCCATGACTCGCTGTATAACGTGCTACTTCGACGTTTGCCTGAATGTGATTCGGAAAGCCGCTTGCAGTCTACTTACGAAGTCCAGTACAGATTCCGGTATCTTAGGAATAATTATTAAATTATACTAAAAATATATAATTATTTTTATTCAAGTACTAAGTAATTTGGAGTGTGTTCCGAGACTTACCTAAGGAATAACCTATTTAATGAAAAAAGTTTGTTAGGTTAGTTTTTGGACATATTTAATGTTTCTCTCTACAAATTTACATACGACAATGTTTAAAGAAAAAGATGAAAGTTTGCAATAAGTACTCCATTCCTTATAATAATAATAATAATAATAATAATAATAATAATAATAATAATAATAATAATAATAATTTTAATTAGCCGATCTGGATAGCCGAGTAGGCGAGTACAGGCGTAGCGATCGGGGACGGAAGGATGGCGGGTTCGAGTCCCGCCTCGGGCATGAGTGTGTTTCTGTACGTCTGTATCGTCCATTTATCGTTCATTATCATCATTCCATCTTCCATCCCCAAAGTACTAGCATAAGTAGGGGATAAAAATTGGATTCAGCATAATGCTGATCCCCTCAAAAAGGAGTCACATACACTTGCATAGGATAAAGGTTACTGATCCTCGGTAAGTGCATGTGTATGTTCGCCTGGTACTGGATGGCCAATTCGTGACTAAAATATTTTAACAGACGTTCACATAATATAAATTTATTTCAAGTAGAATGACGCATTAATTTGTCACCTTAGGCGTCCTATGACAACGACCATCGCTTTGGAATAGTCACTCTAGATTACTTTGACCATTGCATAATATAAAGTACACTATAATTTAAAAAAAGTTCCTTGCAAACCAACCTCTAGCAGTATTGCAAGTAATGATTAACAATTGATACGAATATCCATAAAAGAAATATAGATTTTACAATTTAGGATAATGCATGACTGACATCAGTTTCCAACATTTATGACTCATAATATTAGGCAGTTGAAGTTAGATCAAAAGAGGAAGGGTTCAAGTGAGGTTTGTTTCTGCCACTGATTATTGGCATATATGCACTCACAGTCATTCCTAATCATGTTAATTGGATCCATAGTCAGACACCAGGACTCACAACATATTTACTCCCGTATTTTCATTATTCGTTCACTTTTGTTGACAAAGCGAGTGCATCTGTTGAAGAAAATAAGACAAATAATAAAAATCCTAGCCATTAATATCTAAATGTAAACACTTCTTAAATGTTGGCACTATTCAAAATGTCCCGTTGTTACTGCCATTGCCTCAGCAGTATCAGTGGCCGGAGGACCTAGGGTTCGTGTCCAGTCGGTGAAGTATTTTCCACTTTTCCACACTAGCTAAATAGCTGGGCCGAATTCAACTAGTGTCTGAAGGGGAATTCTAGCGGACTGCTCTGATCGGTGGTTTTCCATTGTTTCTCCGAGCACAACTAGGCAAATGCCGGGCACTACCCTCACAAACGGGTCATGCATCACGCGCGAGCCTTCCTTTTCCATCCTAGCCCCTCCTCTCCTCTTACACACTCAAACACACGCACACACGTACATCCACTACACTACCACTCGAGAGCTTAGAGATTGTCATGGAAGGGGAGATGCTCCGCTGGGGGAGATACCTGGAGTGAAAATCCCCGCAAGCTGACGTGTAGGTTCGTGAGGGACCTCACATTTAGGTAGGGAAAGTACATCGCTCCCACCCAGGATATAACAAGTACCACGCTTTCGGAAATAATGACCAAGTAGTTGCCGCATTCGGAAACTATTTAATCAACCCAACAATCATTACCAATGGCCGTTCTCCTTGCTACACATTGTCCGCTTTCCCGTCAGGTTCCGCACGCAGAAGGCGTGCGAGGCGGCGTGCGGCCACCTGGGGTTGCCGGGCGACAAGGAGAAGCAGCCCCACCGCGCGCAGCTGGTGGCGGCGGCGGCGACGCACGGGCTGGCGGCGGCGGCGGCGCT